TTGATTGTCCATTTAACAAACGTTCCAAGAAGCACCTTCACGCTTTCTCCCACACCGGCCCTTGTGCATGGGAGGAGCTTCTGCAAGGCTGCCAGGGTGTCCCTCAGATCTCTCCTTAAAACACTTCTCTGCCATGATTCCTACAACCCATTCGACACTATCATCTCGCTGTTGCCTCATATACTCCCATCTGTCTGTATCCATCTGTTTTCTGTAGTTTCATACTGTGGTGCATTGACCTTCTCTTAGCCATGTGTGTGCACAGTAGAGCCCTGGCCTCCAGGTGCTGCTGCTGCAATACAAATAATGCATAATAACGACCAATGGTGCAGTGTGAGGCCGTCTTTCTTATGGGCTCAATGACTACCTGCACAGTGGAGACTGAATTAGCTCGTCAGCTCTAACATTGGTTCCTCCAGATCAAGGCTGAGGCCCGTGGGTGGAAGTGGGTCTGTGCTCTGCTTCAGTTTTAAGCACAGTTAGTCGGTGCTTGCACACCAACCGTAACCATGATGTTAATAAAACGTCCCTTGCTCCAGCACCAGGCTTGAGGACAGGAGCTGGAGGGACGGAGCCTAGGCTCTGATCAGCCAGGTGATTGCGCTTTCTCTCCTCAGCTATGGATTTCCCTCAGCACAGCAAGCAGGTCCTGGAGCAGCTGAACCAGCAGAGGCAGCTAGGCTTGCTGTGTGACTGCACCTTCGTGGTGGACGGCATTGACTTCAAAGCCCACAAGGCCGTGCTGGCAGCCTGCAGCGAGTACTTCAGGATGCTGTTTGTGGATCAGAAGGACGTGGTGCATCTCGACATCAGCAATGCAGCAGGTATGCAGGTGCGGCTCCTGGGAGAAGCCAAGGCTGCGCTTGGGGGAGGAGCTGTGGCCCTGAGATGGAGGGCCGTATGCTCAGCAGGTGTAAATCAGTGTGGCCCTGTTGAAGTCAGTGGAGCCGCACCAATTCATACCAGCTGTGGCTCAGACCCAACATGTGCAGAACCTCCTAGAAACCATTAGGGCTGGGATGGGGATAGTGACGTTCCTCTTGAACACTGGAGTTGCCAGACTGGATCAGACCCATGGTCCATAGCCCAGTGTCCCATCTCTGACAGTGCCCAGCACCAGATGCCCCAGAGGAAGGTGCAGGAACCCTGAAGTAACAGAAGTGGGATAATCTGACCTCGTTACGTTCTCCGCCTAATCCCTAATAGAGACTGGTTTAAACCCTGAAGCATAGTTTCTACAACTTGATTTGTATTAGAATCATAGAAGATCAGGGTTGGAAGGGACTTCAGGAGGTATCTAGTCCAACCCCCTGCTCAAAGCAGGACCCAATCCCAACTAAATCATCCCAGCCAGGGCTTTGTCAAGCCTGACCTTAAAAAGCTCTAAGGAAGGAGATTCCATCACCTCCCTAGGTAACCCATTCCAGTGCTTCACCAACCTCCTAAAGAAAAAGATTTCCTAATATCCAAGTATTAACTTTTATAACTCTGCATATTCTTGATATCCATGAGAAACGTCCACTCGCTCTTTGAATCTTGCTAAGTTCTTGGCCTCGATGACTTCCTGTGGCAGGGAGTTCCACAGCCTCATTATACTTTGTGCAGCAAAGTATTTTTCCTTTGATCAGTTTTGGACTTGCTACCTTTCAGTTTCATTGACTGTCCTCTTGTTCTTGTGTTACGAGACAGGGAGGAGAGCAGCTCCTGCTCTTTCTTCTCTAAACCACTCACTGTTTTATATGATTTTATCATGACTCCTTTTATTCATCTCCTTGTGTCTCCACTACGGAGACCATACCGGCATAGCCGCCTACAGTAGACGCAGCCTACACCAACAGAAGAAGGTTTTTTTGCCGATGCAGGGAACTCTCCCTCCCCGAACGATGTTAGCTAGGCCTTCTTCCATCGACACTGCTGCGTCTACACTGGATGAGGTTGTTGGCATAGTTGTACCAGTCAAGCGTGTGGGTTTTCTCACACCCCTGACTGACACAGCTATGCTGATACAACTTTTTAGTGTAGACCAAGCCTAAGGTAACAAGCCCAGTCTTCTCCATCTCTCTTCATAGAGAGTGTTTTCATGCCCCTAATCATTCTCATCATCCTTCTCTGAACTTGTTCGAATTCTGCAATATTATTTTCTAATGGGATGACCAGTTCTGCGCACAGTATTCTAGAGGTGAGGGGTACCATCAGTTCAGATCATGGAATTACAGTATTTTGTATATTATTCTCCATCCCATTCCCTATGCATCCTACCATCTTGTTTGCTCTTTGACTGCAGCTGCTCATTGAGTAGAGATCCCCATTGAGTTGTCCTCAGTGATGCCCTGATCTCTTTCCTGAGTTGATCAATTCATTTAGAACTCTGCTAGGTTCATGAATCTGTCAGGTTTAAATTTTTCCCTCCAATGTGCATTGCTTGGCATTGATCAACACTGAATGTTTTCTGCCATCATATTGTCCATTCACTCTGAAGTTTCTCTGTCTGCTCTGGGCTTGACTAACTTAAATGATTATATGCCTTCTGCAAAGGTTGCCTCCTCACTGATCATTCTTTCCACCTCATTTCCAAATCATTAATAAATATATTAAACAACTCAAGGCCTAGTAGGAACCTAGAGGCACCTAACTATTAATATTTTATGATGGAAACTGGCCGTTTATCCCTATTCTTATTTATTTTCTGTCTCATAGCCAGTTTTTGATCCATGACAATACCTTGCCTCTCCCTCCATGAATACTTAGCTCCTTTAGTAGTTTCTTGTGCAGAACCTTGTGAAAGGTCTTTTGCAAGTCGAAAGGATGTTCACGGGTTTTCCGGAAACCATTACCTTATTGAGATGTTCAAAGAATTCTGACACATCAGTGAGATGAGACTCATCATATCATGATCTTCCAGATCTTCCATCTTTTTTGTTCTATTTTTAGTTATTCTTTCAACCAATGGACTGGGTACAGATGTAGGACTTGCTTGTCTGTTGTAATTCCCTGACTCGCCCCTATGGCAGCTGGCCAGATACAACCTGTTGGATTCCTGTGATCGAGATGTGGCCAGTACCCTATACAAATTCACACCACTGTAGAGATAGCTGTCTAACAATCATCTGAAGGGGAAAGGGAAACAATGATCCTGCCAATATATAGTATATGCCCAATAGCTATTACTTCATTAAGTGTGGTTGGACAGATGTGCATCATGTCTGGAAGCTAATGGTCTTAGAGTAGAATGGGAGATTATCCACGCTCCGTAACTGCAACATGCTTCCAATGCTTACCAGTAAGCGGTGGAAAGATTTTTATTGTTAATATTAGAAGAAGATTGATTAGTTGTCTTGCATTAGCACTTAAAGGCTCCCACCGAGAGGCAGGGCCCATTGTGCTAGGCTCTGTACCAGCACCGTCGTCAGAGACCGTTCCTGCTTCAAAGAACTTCCAGTCAAAACAGACAAGCCAAAGGATGAGAGAATGGAAGTATTATTATCCTCGTTTTACAAACGGGGCAATGATTCACAGAGAGAGAGGAAGCGACTCACCCAAGGCCACACAGGAAGTCTGTGGCAGAGCCAAGAACTTAACCCAGGTCTCCTGAACCAAAGAATCATCCTGCCTCGATCTGACATTCCCCAGGATACAATCTGGACTGCTGAACCGCTGGGTCCCCTCAATTCTCCAATCTGATGTGCCTTCTACACTGTGAGAGCAACCACTCCTGGTTTGCTGTCAGACAGCCTCTAGCATGTAAATTACTCCCAGCTGAGTTATCTGAGTGCTTCTAGCCAGCCACTCCTGAATTGTATTGCAGAGTCCCACCAGCATATTCCCAGTCCCAGACTTGTCCCCGGAAATGTGCATTTTGTACTGCCCAGCTCTTTTCTTCCATGCCGTACAAGCTCATAGAAAGTCCATCATTTCATTAATAGAAAATGATATGCACAAACCATGGTATCTCAAATGGAGTTTCCTAAACACTTCAATCCAAACACACACTGGTCTAGAGAAAACAATAAAACAAGTTTAACATCTACAGAAAGATAAATTTCAAGTGATTACAAGTAATGAGGCATAAAAGTCGGTATTGATACAAAGAAATAAAAGGTAAAACACAACTAATACCTAACTTAACAAGTTAAGTGAATTCAACGCAAAAGGTTTCTCTCACCACATGCTCACAGCAGTCTGGCTGGATCCCTTCAACCAGGACCACTCCCCCAGCTCAATGGTACTTACTTTTTCTTTCAAATGTTGTTGGTGCTGTGAGTAGAGATGAGAGGTGATTTGAGGTCTCTGTTCCTCACTTTTATATCTTTTCCTCCTCTTTGAGAATCATCGCCAGCTGGGGTTCAGGCAACAGCCAGTCTATTTGCACGGGAACCCCCAGCTGTTCTATTGCCAAGATGTAAACTTCTCGCTCGCATCCTTTTTCCTCCCAAAGAATGGCTGTTTACCCAGGTGATGCTCCATTTGATTTTGTTGACACTTGGCTGAGGCGTCAGTTTGCCTTTTGTCTCTGGTGAACTGGTTTGGGCTGCTTCCCTAGACTTGGAACATGTCTTATACAGTTACAGTGTTGCCACATATGTTTTAACAGGACAATAATGTTCAGCAGATTATGAGTTTTTGAATAAACCGTCACAAGGCATACTTTGTCCAAAATTTATCATCGTTTTATAAAAAGGACGAACATAAGGGTACCGACAGTCACACTCCCTGAGTTCCATATCTTATTTATTTCAGCCTACAGAATTTTACCTTCCCCCACTCTCTTGTGCTAAACTAACAATGGCAGCAGCTGGTTAAAGTATCATCATTTGTTGCTCTTACCTAGAAAGCAAGAATCTGGCATGGTTTGGGGTAGGCTTTTCAGGGAGTTTTATTGCTGCATATAGGATAAGTTGTTAAGGCCTTTGAATCCATGGGAGTTAGCCGCCTAACCCGTCTTAAAAAAATCTGGCCTTTAGTCACTAAAGTTCAACCTCTAAAGTATTGGCAACTTAGCTTGCTATGAAAAAGGCCACTCATCTCCGGAGCTTTGATTTGTGTTTTTGTTGTTTCTGGTCTGTTTTCTTGCAGGCCTTGGTCAGGTCCTGGAGTTCATGTACACAGCCAAACTCAACCTGAGCCCAGAGAACGTGGAGGATGTGCTAGCGGTTGCCGGTTTCCTTCAGATGCAGGAAATCGTCAACGCTTGCAATGCTTTGAAGTCTCTCACCGTGTCAGCTGAACCCAATTCAGAAAGCCACAAGGTCCCTGAAGTGACCGGTAGGCAGCCTTCTTACCCCCCTTAGTGTGAATCTGTTACTGAACTGTCCTTAAATCAGGCAGGAGCTGAGAGGAGAAGCTAAACATTGATCCATCCCCAGCCAGATGTTTTCTTTACTGTAATAAGCTGGCCTGGAGATTGTGGTGAGCTCAGTGGTTAGTCAGTCAATAAAGAACCATTTTCTTCCAAAAGAAACGTAAGGGAGGTGCAGGTGAGGTCACCCCAAGCTGTGCATGTGGCCTGCGAAGCCGCAGATCGGAATGCAGAACATTGGCCCCCAGGCTTTGGGGACGGCGCTGCCAGTTTCTCAGGTGAAGAGCCCAGCTGTACCTGGCAACGTCCATCTCCTGGTCAGTGGCTGCTCTGTCCCGCTCTGTAGCTTCAATGGCTCCAAATCTTAGTCTTGGCACTGCAAGACTGTGGGGACGGGGATTTGGTGCGCTAAGATTGGTCAGACACACGCAGCACGTTTCAGTGTTGCAAGTCGTGAGTTCTGGCTTAGAGCTGTTCCCTCTAACTTACCCTCCCCAGATAGAGATGAGGCTTATGGATCTGCGTATGGATGGCACCAGGCGTTACGTGTTTGCTGCTAAATGTTTGTTTTCCTTTCTTGTCCCGCTGGTAGTACGTGTTGATAGCATCTTAAGACAATTAGCGCCCCAGGGCTATTGGCTGGCCTTCCTGACTGCTGTGTCCATTGTTTGGACTCTCGGAGAGTCCAGTGCGGAAGTTCTGGTTGCTTTGTCCCTCTGTCGTCACCAGATGTGAAGGGAGTGTGGTTTGCTTGTGTGTGTTTCCCTGTAGGGGAGGTAAAAGCACCCGAAGAAGGTAAAGCAGCGGCAGAAACGCTCGGTGGACTCGACAGAGCTGAGCAGGTCCCATCTGATAGACAAGAGGAGGAGCTGACGGAGGCTGCAGCGGAGCCAAAGGAGAAGGAGCCTGAGGAAGAGGACAGCAAGGAGACCAGCGACAGAGCAGGTGAGCCCGAGGAAGGTTATGTATAGAAAGGGAAGGTAATTAAGCTTCCCGGCTTCAGGCCTTCACTTGTGCTGCTGCTAGCCCTTGGGGCAGCCTTCTGCCTCCCCCGCACCCCTTAATCTCGCCTGATCCTTTCCACAGTCCTCCATGCTCTGCCCCCCCCACCCCACCCCCCGCGGGAATCTGTATGCTGAGCAGCTGCCAGGCTGTCCCGTTCCCTCTCAGTACAATGCAGCCGTCGCAGTGGATGGTTTGAACGTGCTCTTCTTTGTTTCTAGGTGCAGGCGACGCTGTACGGGAGGACGCCCACTCTGAGGTGCCCAGTAGGCAGCAGCCAGAGGGTACCAGGCCCAACAACGCCAGCCCGGCCGCAAAGTGCAGCTCCTCCCAGAGTTCAGAGCAAGGTGCCGACCTACCGCCAGCACGGGATGGTGGTTTGCCATTTTGAAATGAAAGTAGTGACAGTAACTTCCCCCCGTACATCCAGCTTTGTCGGCTCCACCTCCTTAGGCACAGAGGAATAGCTCCAGACCTCAGGCTCCTCATGGCTACACCCCCCACACTTGTTAAATGTTTCTGCCCTGTGTGTTTGATTTCGCCAGTGCGGGGCTCGCTGCTCCCTCTGGTTCTTTCCCGGACAGTTGGCTGCTCTCGGCTCCGCAGGGAACAGGCCTGAGTGGCAGGACGTGAAGTCGGATGAGAACAGGTGTCACTGGGTGCTGTCGCAGCAGGCCATGAAACCTGCAGCCTGGGCCGTCTAGTTCGTCGAGTACGTCAGGATTGCGTTGCTCTGAGCAGCAAATCGCTGGAGCTTAAGTTGGGAATTGTAAGGGCTGTAGTTTTCATTGGCGCAGGAGCTTACATTTGCAAATCCAGGAACTGAGGATCGTCCCGCTTGTTAGATGCAGCCTGTTTGAAAGCACGGGGCTTCCCTGGGTTTTGTCTACATAAACCTACATCCCTTTCATGCTGGCAGAAAGCAAATACCCCTAGAGGAGGAGGAAACCTAGGCCTTTAGCATACCACAGCTGGGCAGGTGAGCCGGGCAGGGGGAGCTGTAGCGAAACACCAGGGCCTGTTAGAAGCTGTAACTCTAGACAACTTTTTCCATTCAAGTGGTTGCAGATCCCAGTTCCCAAGCAGTGAGAGAGGCCCCATGTCCCAGGCAGCACATTAGACCTGAATTATGTTGGGGACCCCAGATCTGTGTGGCCCTGTTCCCTGAGCCCTCTCTGCCTCACCAGCATGCAAACACCAGGACGGCACGGTGGGATCAAATCAGTTCCAACTTCTGTGCACTTTCGGAAGTGTACGGGGGTGGGGAAGGCTAGCTGGTCAGAAGCCCCAAACTCCTTGTGCACGGCTTCTTTAAATGCCGAACACGGCCTGTATCGTATTTTTAAGGTGTAGCACTTTCAGCAAGAAGTGACAGTTAGATGCCCATTTGCGTGGCCATATAACTGCATTTTTACAAGAGACTCTGAGAGTTAGGTGCTGAACGAAGGACAGGGCTGGAAACAGGAGCCTTCTATGTACGGAACAGGTCCCCCACAGGCAACAGCCACGCAAGCTCCCCGGGGCTGTCCCGCCAGCCTGCCCCCGCTCCCACCTGGTGGCATAGCTTGGTTTCCCAGTCAGTCAGTGGAAACTCTGCCAGCCAGTCGGTCAGTTGGTGGTGGATTTGATGCTGTCCAATGGGAACTGAACTGAGATCATCAAACAGCCCTCCAGGGGGGAAAACTTTCAGTCACTCCTGACTCTATTTGCATCAGTGACCCAGAAGTGAAAGGCCGTATCCCGTCACTGGTCCCTTAAGCCTGGGACCCATATTTAGGAATTATATATAGCAGGGTTGGTTGAAATTTTTCCATCAAAACCTATTTTTGCCCAAAAAAACAGTTTGGCAGCTAAACAAAATTTTGCACAAAAAGTGTCTGGTTTCCATGGGAAATTTTGATTGTTTTTTTTTTTTTCCCGATCAACCTGAATAGCTGAAAACCAAAATGTTTCAATTCTCAAATAGAACCACGGAGCCTCGTGGGAATTGTAGTTCAGGTGTCTCATACTCCCAGTCCCCCTCTGGGTTGGACTCCCCGGCCAGACTTAGTTTCCCTGATGCGTTGTGGCCATGTGACTGCTCTGATGCATCCCTCTCCCCTCACACAGGGCAGGGGCAGTGGCCGACCAGGGCAGATGGAGTCTAAGCCGGGAGCCTGGCCTCTGGAGGAGGCTGGAAGCATGCAGCGCTACGGCTGCCTTTCAGATTCGAAATATTTTGGTTTTCAACTGAAAAAAATTCCGGTTTTGATTTTTTTTGTTTCTGCCAAAACCTCAAAATTTCCCCTGGGGGAGTAACTCCCTTTTCCAACCAGCTCTCACACCTGGGTCTTTGTCTCCCAAGTGTGCAGGCTTCTTTTATTAACCACATGCAATGCCGCAGTAGGATTTTTGTCTCCCACCTTTTATTCCTGGTTTTCAGCATCCCTCTGTCTCCTAAACCTGCAGAAATGGAGGTGGAGCTGGAGGGGAAGGAGGAAGAGGAGGAGACGACAGCGGAGGAAGAGGAGGAAGCCAAAATCCCAGTGGAAGAGAAGCCACGGTTGGAAAACGGAGACAACCCTGAGGATAACGAGTCAGGGGGCACAGACTCCGGGCTGGAGAACTCCGGGGAAGCCAGGCTGCTGCGATCAGGCACCTACAGCGACAGAACCGAGTCGAAAGCCTATGGCTCGGTGACTCACAAGTGTGAGGTAAGGCGAGAGCGGCTTCCTCCCGGGCCTCAGTTCCCCTGGAGCACGGTGAGGCTGGCTCTTTACCCTGTGCGTCTTCGTCCGCAGGACTGCGGAAAGGAATTCACGCACACCGGTAACTTCAAGCGGCACATCCGGATCCACACTGGAGAAAAGCCTTTTTCTTGCAGGGAATGTAACAAAGCGTTCTCCGACCCGGCGGCCTGCAAAGCCCACGAGAAGACACACAGGTACGGCTTGCTGCCAACCGAAAACAACATGCCCGCGAGCGCCTGCTCTTCGCTGCAGCCAGGTGTGTGATCTGCGGCTCATGTAGACGGACCCGTGCTAGCCTCGATCTAGCTAGCTCAGTGAAAACAGCTGTGTGGCTGCTGTGGGCTGCACAAGCCCCCCACGTACGTACAGCCTGCCCTGCTGCATCCGCACTTTGATTTTAATCAAGCTAGCTAGATTAACCCTAGCGTGGGGATGCTGGATGGGCTGCAGATCCCATGTGTGTGTGCCAGCAGCTGGGAGCTGGGGGGTTGAGAGGGCTTAGGAGGTGGAGTGAGGGGTTGCTAACGGAGTGAACTCCACTCCAGCCAGGTTGATGCACCGTCTGCTTCTCCCTCTGCCTGCTGTCACCCCCATGGCAGCAGACGTCTGGCTAACTGTAGTGCTTCTAACGGGGTGAAGCCTCCCTGAGCCAGGGAACAAGCCCTCTCTGCTGCTTGGCTACAACAGAGCTCACCCATTGCTGCACGCTGGACTCCTAGTCTCTGGGGCTGATGTCTTGATGCTGGAGGTATTCCAGAACATGCCTATGTTGACTCTCTAGGCAGGTGTCTTGTCTGAGGGTTGAGCTTAGAGCTGCCAAAAGGAGAAGGATCAGAAATGTCTGTTCCGAACAGACAAGCCGCCTGGAGTCCCTCAGTCCCTTCTGAATCCCTCTTTCAGCCCTCTGAAGCCCTACGGCTGTGAAGAGTGCGGCAAGAGCTACCGGCTCATCAGCCTACTGAACCTGCACAAGAAGCGGCACACGGGAGAGGCCAAGTACCGGTGTGACGACTGCGGCAAGCTCTTCACCACCTCGGGCAACCTCAAACGGCACCAGCTGGTGCACAGCGGCGAAAAGCCCTACCAGTGTGACTACTGCGGGCGCTCCTTCTCCGACCCCACCTCCAAGATGCGCCACCTGGAGACCCACGACACGGACAAGGAGCACAAGTGTCCTCACTGCGACAAGAAATTCAATCAGGTGAGTGGATGGCAGCTAGGGAGCCCCTCTGACAGCTTGCCAGGACCTCCAGGGGGACAATAAACACCCCCGCAGCAGACCTGCTTGTCCTTCTGTCTGCCAGAGAAGTTGCTGATTGGTTGCATTCACCAGCCTCGAACCCAGAGCCGCTAGAGGGAGGCCGGATTGGGGTCAACGAGTCTTGGGCTGCATCTCCCTGTTGGTTTGGGGTCTTATCCACGGCCCGTGGGACGACTCCCATTGATTCTTCCGTAGGCTTTGGGTCAGGCCCCTTGTGATGTGGCAGGTGGCTGCAGGCTACGCTTGGACCCAAAGCACAGCCCCAGAGCCCCCCGTTCAGAGTTAGCACTTTGTCCTCCTCCTCCTCAACATGCGACTTACGCCTGGAAACGTTTTGCATTAGGTGTCTCCTTAGTCCCCAAGAACCCCTTCTCCCCTGTGAAGAGCCCAGGGAGATCTGCAGGGGCTGTAACAGAGCCCGTCTCCTACATGTCAAAGTCCTCCGTGGAGAACTAGAGAGCAGCTAGCTACCCTGGAGTAGGTCCCTGGTCCGAACTCTGTTCCGCTCTGTACAAGTTCTTATACCACACCCACCACCTCGGTGTCTGAGCGCCTACATACTAGCTCTGTGAGAGGTTTGAGCGTCCCCATTTTACAGATGGGGAAACTGAGGCACAGAGAGGGAGGTGACTGATTCACCCCCAGTGTCGCAGCGAGCCAGGAAGAGAACTCCCCAGCCCCACCCCAGAGACTACACCCCCAGCCAGAACCCACACCCCAACCTCCTGCCCCAGGCCTGAGTCCCCTCCTGCACCCCAATCCCCTGCCCCAGGCCTGAGTCCCCTCCTGCACCCCAACCCCCAGCCCAGACCCCCCTCCTGCACCCCAAACCCTTCATCCCCGGCCCCACCCTAGAGACTACACCCCCCAGTTGGAGCCCCTCCTCCCCACCCACACACTCCAACCCTCTGAGCCAGCCTGGTGAAAGTGAGTGAGGATCGGGGAGAGCAAGCGACAGAGGGAGGGGAGATGGAGTGAGCTGCGGGCGGGGGCCTTAGGGAAAGGGTGGGGCAAGGGCGGGGCCTCTGGGAAGAGGCACAGCAGGGACGAAGGGTGTTCGGTTTTGTGTGATTACAGAGTTGGCAGCCCTAAATGCCGCCCACCTATGTGCTTCCAATATACATGGGGCTGCCCACAGCAATCCCTCTGCTCCCAGAGGAGCAGCAAGGCTCAATGGAGCTGTTTTGTCTGCCTGCAGGTGGGGAACTTAAAGGCGCATTTGAAGATCCACATCGCGGACGGGCCGTTGAAGTGCCGGGAATGTGGCAAACAGTTCACCACGTCAGGTACCACGCGGGGGGGGTACAAGCGTGTCCGCGCTTGGCTGTCTCATGGCATTTGCAGACAGCTCCACCTAGAGTAGAGGCCGCGGCTTTGCAGGCTTAGGCTGGGTTGGGAAGAAGCATTGGGGTGGGGTGAGCTACTCCTCAGTGAGTCACCAGATACTCGGCATGGGCACAGATTTCCCGGGGCACCCCCTGCTTGGACAGAAAGCGCTGCTCAGGTTAGCAAAAGGGACTTCTGGCACTGCTAGAAGTAAGCCTAGCTCCCCAGTAAGGGGGCAGAGGGACATCTGGGGCCCTGTTCACTATCATCAACCCCAAGACTTCAAGGATCACGAGTCAGGCATGAGTTGGGCTTAAGACTCGCATGATTTAAACATAAGTAAATAATGAAACTGGGGTGGTTCTTTGCCCTCAGGTGTCTGAGCCTTTAGGGGGTCACAGCTACAGGCTTTTCTCCATAGCTATGAAGGCTAGAAAATTCCTGTTTTTTAAAAATGGAAGCTGAGATTCTTGTGTAATCACCTGACTCCAGGAGCAGGGGCTTTAAGAAGAACACCAAATATGGCGAGACCTGTGCTGCCAACCTGAGAGCGGACAACGCTGCCCGTTAGCATTTAATACAATGGGGGAGTTAAATCTAAAATCCTCAGAGACACTGGGTGTCTCTAAGGCCACCGCTAGGGTCAGGCAGCGTGAGTCACTTCTTGATCTGAGCTGTTTCTGTCGCCCTGGATTGCTGTTTGCCAACGCAAAGCCCCTCTCATGGCATAGCACGGGTCCCTCGCCTCCTGCTGCATTGTGCATGGCTGAGAGCCTGCTAGCCAGTGTGTATTTGTGTAACAGGCTAGAAATCCCGGGGCCTCCCTGAATGTCGCACTCAGTAACTGAACAGTACCCGGCCCTGTGGCCTCGGCAGAAGTGGAGCGCTAAGGCAGCACGAGGCCATGGAACGTGCACCGCCCGAGCGAGCCAGTCTGGAGGGGGGCGGAGGGGGAGTGCTCACGCACACACAGCCCTCTGGGCTACTGACTCCCTCTTGTCTGGCTCCTGCAAGGGAACTTGAAGAGGCACCTGCGGATCCACAGTGGAGAGAAGCCGTACGTGTGCGTGCATTGCCAGAGGCAGTTCGCGGACCCCGGGGCCCTGCAGCGGCACATTCGCATTCACACAGGTAGGGAGACCAGGCCCCACGACCCCCATCCTCTTGCTCCGGGGGCTAGGCGCAGCGTCAGCTTGGCTGATGAGAAACAAAGCAAACAGCAGGGCTGGGGCCAGTTCCTCTCTGACCTCTGCCAAGTGCCATCAGTCGCTGCCAAGCCGCTTTGGTTTCGTGTGTATCTGTTGTGCAGCAAACAGTGGGGTCTCCTGTGTGCTTCCAGCCCTTCAGAACATTCCCCCTCGCCCCACGCCAAGGGGCCTGTGCTACCTGCCCCCGGGATTCCAGAGCATATGTATGGACACGGGGTGGCCCAGCATAGTGGGACATCCGTGCCCGGGTCCTTCGGAGAACTGATCTGCTGCCCATCACCACAGTATCTGGGCATCCTCCGTGTAAAATCAACAGCAAGAGCGAAGTCTCTGGTGGATTCTTGGGATCTCTGACACTCGCCCCGTTTTGGTGCCAGAGCTCTGCTTGGGAGAGGGGAGAGCCGACCTGCTCAGCCTGGCTGTAACTCACCAGAGCGCAGACTGCTGGCGGCCGGGGGTCAAGCCAGCGGCGTGAGAAGCCGATGGGCTCGGTGTGACAGTAGTAATGACACACTGCTGATGAGCTACCGAACAGTGCTGTTGGGACAGACGTGCCCAGGGACTGAGACGTGGTCTCATCTTTATACCCCTCCTGCCATACCCTGGCCCATTCCTTTAACTCCGTAAAATGACTCAAGATAATTAAGTCCAAAGCAGCCTGCGAGGATTTACAAAGGGATCTCACACAACTGGGTGACAAAACGGCAGCTGAAATTCAGTGTTGATAAATGCAAAGTACATTGGAAAACATCCCAACTATCCATACAAAATGCTGGGGTCTGAATTAGCTGTTACCACTCGAGAAAGATCTTAGAGTCATTGTGGATAGTTCTCTGAAACCATCCACTCAATGTGCAGCGGCAGGCAAAAAGGCGAACAGAATATTAGGAACCATGAGGAAAGGGATAGATAATAAGACAGAAAATATCATAATGGCTCTGTATAAATCCATGGCACGCCCACATCTGCAATACTGCATGCAGATCTGGTCACCCCATCTCAAAAAAGAGATATTAGAATTGGAAAGGGTACAGAAAAAGTGAATAAGGCAGTGTTATTTACTCCTTCACATAACACACGAACCAGGGGTCACTCAATGAAATTACCAGGCAGCAGGCTTAAAACAAACAAAAGGAAGTATTTCTTCACACAACGCACAGTCAACCTGTGGAACTCCTTGCCAGAGGATGTTGTGAAGGCCAAAACTATAACAGGGTTCAAAAAAGAACTAGATAAGTTCATGGAGGATAGGTCCATCAATGGCTGTTAGCCAGGATGGGCAGGGATGCCCCTAGGCTCTGTTTGCCAGAAGCTGGGAATGAGCGACAGGGGATGGATCACTGGATGATTCCCTGGTCTGTTCATTCCCTCTGGGGCACCTGGCATTGGCCATTGTCAGAAGACAGGATACTGGGCTAGATGGACCTTTGGTCTGACCCAGTCTGGCTGTTCATATGTTGTGCCATGTCTGAATGAGAGTCGGCTCCTCGGAGCGGCTCATGTGTCTCCTTGGGCCTCCCAAGCACGTGTGACGCGCCCATGTCCGTCCATCCCAGAGCTCTTCATTTCAGGCCCTAGGGCTCAGGTGAGCCGCCTCTTCCCACCCGCTGGGGAAAGGCCTGAAGCGGCAGCGCCCCCAGGATCTCTAGACCGCTGCCCCTATGGCCATGTGTAGGGGGCAGCTGGATGGAGGAGCGGCCCACCAGCGACTGATCACTGGCCCGAGGCATGGGTGGGCCTGGGGGGCTGGTGCGTCTGGCTGCTGAGCTGTGAGCTCTCCCCTTCTCTCCCCAGGCGAGAAGCCCTGCCAGTGCCTGATCTGTGGCAAGGCCTTCACGCAGGCCAGCTCCCTCATCGCCCACGTGCGCCAGCACACCGGAGAGAAGCCCTACGTGTGTGAGCGCTGCGGCAAGAGGTGAGGCCCCGCCCCGCTCCAGGGCTCCTGGCTGGGCCTGCCTCCCTCCAGCACCCGGCTGGCCAGGCCATCCTGGATCTTAGCCCAGCAAATACAGGAATGGGGCTCGATTCTTGCAGTCCCGTGGGGATCCCCTGCTACCCACATGTGCTCCTGCTTCCCTGCCACCTGGGCCCCTCGCCCGCTGCACAGGATCTAGATCCGGCCTGGCAGAGGGACAGTGACTTTGGTTGGTTTGGTGCTTTCTTTTCCTGACCCTCCCGGGGAGGAGAGGGGGTGTCCGGGGGAATCGCCAGGGAAGCACACGGGCTGCTGTGCCCAGCTGAGGATGATGGGAGGGCTCTGCCAGCCCGGTGCCAAAGGGGGTGCCCGCAGGGGGGGGATCAGAGCTCTGGTCTCCTCTCAGCCCCGCTGGTAACCCTTGGTCCTGAGATCAGCTGGGGGGTTGGGCTGTACGTGGCGGGGGACGCTAGCTAAGGGGTCTCAGTGGGGCTCTTGGCTCCCAGGGACTAACCTTCAGCACACAGCCCAGGCCCAGCTCCCCTTGTGCTGGGACACACGGCGTTTGGCACTGGACAAAGTGCAGAGCCGGTGGGGGGATTTCGCCATTTCTGGGCCTGGCCCATGGTTGACTGCGTGTTGTCGGAATGATTCTCTGTCCAGGGCTGGGGATTGTTACGATGGGGCTCCGCGTTCGGGGGCCATCTGATGGGAGCCGAGCACGTGAGCTTCTGCCGTCTCTTTCCGGTTTAAAGGGGCAGGGCTGGCGGTGGGAACCTGAGGGCACAAGGTGCCCACCTGCCGCATGCTCCCAGCCGGGCTGCACTGGGTCAGCTCAGTGAAGAGGCTGCAGGCTCTGAGCCAGGCCTTCTCTCTGCTGTCAGGAGAGGCCCATGCGTCAGACTGATCTTGACCAGGGGCACCGCGCTTTCTGTCCCTTTTAACATCCAGCTCCCTTTTAACGACCTCCCCCTTAACGGCCTCTCCCTTCATCCCCACTAGGTTCGTCCAGTCCAGTCAGTTGGCCAACCACATCCGTCACCACGACAACATCCGACCGCACAAATGCAACGTGTGCAACAAGGCCTTCGTGAACGTGGGCGACCTCTCCAAGCACATCATCATCCACACCGGTGGGTCCCGCCTCCCCCTTCTGGCAGACACAGCTTCTTTGCCTTCCTGGGAGCTGCTGGGCCCAGCAGCGTGGAAATCCCAGGGGGAGAAGGCCCTTCTCTTGACACGACTGGGAAAGAACCATGTCCCACTCATTAGCAGCCATGGGGAGATACCATGGGTCAGAGCCGGGCACACGGTGCTGGGAGAGGGAGGGAAGGGGAGGGGGATCCCGGCAGTCTTCCTCACCCATGTTTGGGGTCTTGATTATCCTGTGCCCTTGAAACGACCCGGGCGTCCATCCAACAGGCTGTGACGACCCCCCGGCCCTGCCCCTGAGCCACCTCCGCGCCTGTAGCTCTGCAGGGAAACGCTAACCCGGGCCGGGGCTTGGTTCCGTGCAGGGGAGAAGCCGTTCCTCTGCGACAAGTGTGGCCGCGGCTTCAACCGCGTGGACAACCTGCGCTCCCACGTGAAAACCGTGCACCAGGGCAAGGCCGGCATCAAGATCCTGGAGCCGGAGGAAGGCGACGAGGTCAACATCGTCACCGTGGCCTCGGACGACATGGTCACGTTGGCCACGGAGGCGCTGGCAGCCACAGCGGTCACGCAGCTGACAGGTGAGCCTGGGAGTCTCCCTGTGCCGTTAGCAGAGCAGGAGCCGCCCCCCCTGCGTGGGAAGGGAGGGGCCTGCTGCACCTAAGGGAAACCTGCCTGGGGCTCTCCGAGGCTCTCGCCTCCCTGGGGCCCAGCCCCCTTCCCCTTCTCGGTCTGCTGCGCTGCAGAGCATGGCTGGGGGTCGTGACCATCTGTACACAGCTCGGCTGCCCTGTCGCAATGAATTTGGTGGGTCTCAGTCCGGGTCCCATGGCCAGTTCACCCCCCGCTGGCACTAGTCGGCAGCCTCAGCAGAGGCCTGTCAGAAACACCTGCCGAGCAAGTCCCCCTCTCGCTCCATGCCCGTTGGCACGGGGCCGGACGCCTGCCCTGCTGCCCCTGCTCTCTAGGACTGGGCCTGTCGCCTTCCTCCAGCATGCACGGAACAGGGCACCCCTGACTGCACTGCACCCGTGGGCCCTACACCAGATCAGCAGCAGCCTGGCCGGTGAGGGGGTGGCTGAGCCCCGAGGTTTGTTCAGGCCAAGTCACCCCCCTTCTCCCCTCCCCCAACCGCAGTGGTCCCCGTGACGGCCGCCGTGACGGCAGACGAGACCGAAGCACTTAAGGCGGAGATAACCAAGGCCGTGAAGCAGGTTCAGGAAGCAGGTGAGGAGCAGCTGAAAGGCTGCGCACATGGGGGAGCCCACGGGGGCATTTCCCAGCTACGTTCCAAGGGGAGCAGACCTGGGACCCGCTTCAGTCCCCGAGAGGAGACGCTGAACTCGTGGGCCAGTGGCGTTCTAGGAGCAGCCCATACCTTGCGGGAGCGTCCGACAGTGCACCCTCCCCGCGCTGGCTCCCTTCGTTCTCGGAGCAGGTCCTGGTGGCGGCTCGGCGTTGCTGCACTTCTCACTGATGCAGGACGTCAGGCTCCAGCACAGAGATGCCTGATCCCTCTGCAACATCTTTCCGCCTGCGCCTCGCGTCTCCAGCCCCGCTCTGCTGGCCCAGCTCGCGCCGGGAGACAGCCGTAGTTATTTCCCCCTTGAGCGCAGCTCTGTTTGCAGAGCCCCACACGGGCAGTTAAAGGGATCGGGGGGACTCAGGGTTCTCCTGTCTGCTGGGCCCACGGGGAGGGGGTCCAGAGCAGAGCAAGTTGGCACCTTCTGCCCTTGAGTCTAGGCTTGACGGTGATGAGGGCCAGGCGGCACCTTGGGCTGCATGGGATCCTCACAGGGTTTTTAACAGGGCGGGGTAGGCAATGCAGCCCTCCTGCTGTCAATGGCTCGTGGGGAACCCGGGTCTCTGGTTGGCTGGATTTGAACACGGTCCTCAGCCCGCCCATCCCGTGGGGTCCGGGCCGAGTGGTTCCCTAGAGATTTCCTAGGGCTCTGGCCACTCTAGTGTGCAAAGGACTCAGCCCTTTGGATCCCCCCTGCACAGGGACTGTTCCCCTGGTGGGGTGGATTTCTACGTGAGCGTGTGTGAGCAGTGGCAGGGTCCCAGCCCTGGCCCCCAGGGCATCTGTCCGTCTGCACGGCCGTTGGGTGAGTCGCTTCCCCCCCTTCGTTACAGACCCCAACACGCAGATCCTCTACGCCTGTGACTCGTGCGGGGAGAAGTTCCTGGATGCCAACAGCCTGGCCCAGCACGTGCGGATCCACACGGCGCAGGCCCTGGTGATGTTCCAGGCCGACACGGACTTTTACCAGCAGTACGGAGCCGCCGCCACGTGGCAGGCTGAGCAGGTGATCCAGTCAGGGGAGCTGCTCTTCCGAGCCCGCGACGGGGCGGAGGTGCAGACCCCCGTGGCTGAGGAGTGCCAGAACCCTGCAGAGTGAATCCGCAGCACCCGGCCAGTCAGGAGGCCCCCGGGAGTGGGAACCAGGAGAGGAGACGGATCATGCTACAGCATTTGGCTACTAAAGGAAGCAGGAGCCCACATGGGGGCGCTGCTGAGTCAGCTGCTGGTCACGTCCCGACCAGTTATTTAAAGACAGCTCCATGGATTGATGTAAAAATGTATTTCTGTAATGAGAGAATCCACACTAAGTTGTGTAATATCTAGAGAAAAATAAATCCCATTATTTTCTAAATCCTATTTAAAACCGACCCCCCCGCCCCAGCCTCCTGGTGCTGTCTCTGCCTCTTGCACTCAAACCTCCCCGAGCACTTGGGGTGAGCGACAGAGCCACGCTTCCCCCTCCAGCCTCGGGCTAAGCCGGGCGAACCCCGGGGCCCAGGGGCCGTGCTGCCCTCCTGAGACTGCTGGATGTTACAGGGTGTCTCTGGCCCAGCGAAGGGGGATTGTAGGGGGAGAACGTTAGAAAAATCTCTCTGCTCAGGTGGTTAGAGTTGGCCGAGCTTCACTGCAGCAGAGCTGGGCTGGGAGAAGCTTGCACAGCCTGAGGGGACCCTGGCCAGACAGAACTTCATCCCCATCTGCTGCCCACAAGCTCATTCGGTGCCGTGACACCTCCCGTGGAGCCCGTCTCAGGCCCATCCGAATCGATGCGCCTTAGAATCACAGAAATGTGGGGCTGGGGGGACCTCGCTAGGCCACCTAGTCGAGCCCCTGCGCTGACGCGGGCCAAGTATCACCTAGAGGGGGAGGGATAGCTCAGTGGTTTGAGCATTGGCCTGCTAAACCCAGGGTTGTGAGTTCAATCCTTGAGGGGGCCACTTAGGGATCTGGGGCAAAATCAGTACTTGGTCCTGCTAGTGAAGGCAGGGGGCTGGACTCAATGACCTTTCGGGGTCCCTTCCAGTTCTAGGAGATGGGATATCTCCATTAATTCATTTATTTTTATAGAGCAGTGGTTCTCAACCGCTTTACTGTTGTGGGCCACGTATACAACCCTCGGTGTGTTATGTGGGCCGCAGACACACTATCTATACTATCAGTATGGCCCTGAGGATGTCACATGGGCCACAGCTGTGTGCTGAGTGGACCACCTGCAGGCCACGGGTTGAGAACCGCTGATCTAGCCCATCCCTGACGGGGGTTTGCGTTCCTGTTCTGAAAAACCTCCAGTGACAGGATTCCACCTTGTCCCTCGGTGATGTGTACCCCTGTGTGTCTAGCCCTGCGGACGGGCACTCGGGCAGGGCAGGGAGGGCTGCTCACAAGGCAGTTAAATGGGGGGGCTGAGCTAAGAGAGAGAGACAGTGGAGACGGGGAATCAGCTGTTCAGCTGGTCCCCTCCCTGCGCCATTGCGTTCACTCTGGCCAGTGACACTTGTTCAAGCACTCAGCGGCTCATGCGAGGTCCAGTGGGACGAGCGACCTGTCTGAGAGCCCAGGAAGGGGAAGGACACTGTTATAGGACAACTCCGTTTGGGAGCGACTTCAGTGGGATCTCACTCCCCAGCTGGAGGGAGGCCTGTGCGGTCTCCCCTGGCCTGGTCCCCAGCCCTTGTTCTGGGCTGTGTCCACCCTGGATATTGCCGGTTCTGAAACCTGCTCCTGTGGGAGCACAGGGGGCCCAGGCGAGATTGGGCCCTGCAGCTTGGCCTCCTCTCCTGTTGCCCTTTGCTTCCCTGACGTGGGCACTGGCAGCGTTCGCTGCCTCCGCCTGGGCTGTGGCATTCCATGGTGCAAGTCCATAGAGCCAGCAACTTCCCCCAGTAGGAAACCAGCTCCCCCTACTCCGTGCCCACCGGCCACACTCATCCTTGATACCTACCTGCTCCCCAAGGGGCTCTGCCCAATCAGACTGCGGCCCCCCCGGCAAGCAGCTTCTGCCCGCCCCAGCTTTAACACCGCACAGCAAGTGTCTGTGTCTGGCTGGGAGCGTTGAGCTGCTCTAAGGGAAGGTTTCTGCACAAACTCCACGGCTGGCCCTGGCAGCTAGAGGGAGACGTACGTTCCCAGTGCACCGCTCCTCCCCAAGGGCCCCGACTCGGGCACAGGGACTGGCTCGTGAGTTTGTGCAGTGCAGAATGGGCTCCTGGGAGCTGCTGCAGTGACTCGTTAGCACCCTGCTCTCGGGCACAGCACCACGGGGGCCATCGTCTGGCACCTACAGGAGCCCGGTGAGCACAGCCACCGAGGGCAAAGTGTGACCCGGGATCCTTAGTAGTTTCCCATCCCCCACTGAGCCGGTCAGCTAGTGTAGGAGGCTCAGTATCATGGGGGGGTTGGCAGCTCTCAGCATTTCAGCCTTGCCGGTCTGGCCTGTCACCTCCCCCCGAGACCGGTGCTGGCAGGGAGCAGTTTGCCCCAAACAACTGACCGGCCTGTGGCCAAGGTGCCAGACACCAACCTACCAGCTCTTCTCTGCAAGCAAATCCAGGCAGTCAGTGCCTGCAGTTCCCTGTCTGTCCTGTAGGCTGCAGGGTAGCACATGCAATCCCACTGCTGGGTCCAACCTCGGAGAGGGGCTACATCGCAGGAACAAATCCGGGAGGGAGCGAAGCTCGGTTATTACTGGAGCAAAGGCTGCGGTCCAGGCGCCCACGGGGACGGGGTGCAGTGACGAGAGCAGCCCTCGGGGCACGCCTGTGGTTACTTGCACCGAGCTGTACAGGAGGCTCTAGCCCCAGAGAGCTGGCCAGCAGCCTGTAGGACTGGCTGGGGCCTCGTCTGACATGACCTTGGGAGGGAGCACGGTTCCACCACTTGGCAGCAGAGGTTAGACCGGGGGGGGGAGGTACTAGGGTGCAACCTGCCAATAAGGCACTGGAGGGATGGTGTCAAGGCAAACTGGGCCTGTGGGACCTGGCTCAGCTGGGGCTCCAGGGGGCTCCGTCTGTGCTATTGGCTCTGACCCGAGCGCCTCTCCGTGGTTAATACATTGAACCTCCCAGCCAGGGGCAGAGGCGGCCTGGAGAAGGGAAGTGACTTGCCCAGGAACACACAAGCTGCCCAGAGCAGAGCATGGTGGGTGCGGACGAGGATCCTGACTGCACCATTCGGCCTCCCTCCGCTGCAGGGCTACGGCAAGACACAGGTAGGCCTAGGGCTGCCCAGGCTGAGCCAAGCAGTGATGGGCAAGGGGTTGGCTTACTGGTATGAGGCTGCCTGTGTGCCCTGCCCACGGCCATCCATGCACCTAGGGGCTGCAGGGACCTGGTGGCTGCTTCGTGGGAGCTGTGCGGAGCCTGCCTTAGCCCCAGGCCCCCGCTGCACCGCCGACCGGACTTTTAACGCCAGGGTCCCTTTTCGACCAGGTCTTCCGGTCGAAACCCAGATGCCTGGCACCCCTCGCCCATGCTGCGCAGGAATGGGGCCTTCGCCCCTGGACGCCCCCAAGTGACAGGAGTCGATGCGGAAGCGTCGTTGCCAAGTTCAGGAGCGTTACCTTGCAGGGCTGACTTGTCCAGCCCCCCCGTGTCAGTGCTGCGCTGGGGGCTATTTAGAGCAGGGCCCCTAAACCTCTCTGGGTGCAGCGTCTCACTGCCTGGGCACAGCCCCTTGCAGGGAGCCAGTGGCTAAGTGCTCAGCGCTCCTGCTGTCACAATGGGCCAAAGCTTTTGGTGGGGGAGCCCAAGTCTGTGACAGCACATTCACTGTCGCTCAGCTGGGGAAGCTACCCCGGTGCTAGGGGGCAGTGACCCCGTCCAGGGCCTAGGTGCATGGCCCCTGCTGGGGTATGGGGCACTGGCATGACTGGCCTGGCCTGTGGTACCACACTAATTATGGCCCCATGTAACAGCTGCAGCAACTCCCCCAGGGTCACCCCCCAAGTCAGGGGCAGAGTAGGGCCTCGGGCCTGCCTCTCAGGGCCCTTCTCGCACGGCTGGCCCAGCATGTGCCCTGGGGGAAGTGCCCTGGTCCTGATGCAGCATTGCCAGAAGAAGGCACCAGCAGGGCCAGGCTCAGGCCTGCCAAGAGGCAGCCTCGGTTAAGCCCCTGGTATTTGTGCTTGGGCCCTTTGCTGGCCAAAGGGAGGCGCACCCCACGCTGCCCTGTCCCCAGAGCCGAGGGAACTGGCTCCAGCCCTTGCTCAGAGGCCCGGGCACTGATAGCAGTGGGGTGGGGCCAGCGGCTGGAAGCCCAGAGGAGCAGCCCACACGCCCTCCAGTCTCTCTCGCGCCGTGTCGGACACCTGGGGCTTCCTAGCGATACAGCGCTTGGTTAAGCTGCTCCTGCTACTCCAACCCAACTCCAGAGTGAACTGAGTCCCTTGAACCCTACGGGTGCCCCCTTTCTTGTGGCTGGTAACTGGACCCCCTCTTCTCCCCCCCCCCAGGTCTTCACCAGCACGGCCGCGGCCCCCTTCTCACTGTCCGTCACTAAGTCCAGTAATTACTGTCGGTCATGCAACTGGGTGGTGCCAACCCCTGTGCCTGGCACCTGCTGCCACGAGCCACACGGGTAGCCTGGCCCCAGAGGCAGCTGCTGCTGCGCCAACTCCTTCCTGCTGCTGCGGGTTACCCCCTTCGCCACCATCAAAAAAACGCAGACCTCAGGGGTTGGCAAAC